TGAATGATATGTATGGAATTATTCTATCACTTGTTTTGCTACTGACGTTTAAATTTAATGATGTTTTAAATGCGATTAATTGGTACTGAAATTCATTTTAATTTTGTCGAAATATTAGAATTTTATTTTCCAAACAAACATTTTGTAAACCTACCACAGTCAGTGTTTGGTCTTCACTTGATGGTGCGTACAGGGCGCTATGGTGACCGGTCTGCGATTCCCAAGAACCATGTAAATCATACGACATCACTCCCACCCAATCTAAGTGCCTGGAAGACGAACAAATATTTTTGCTCACAAAAAATATTCAATTTATTCTCACTTTGAATTTCACACTGATTTTTTTGCATCTACTGTATTTTTTCTTTTATGTTCAAAAGTGTACAAATAAACCAATTTATAATTGTATTAATTTCGAATTGCTGCAACACTAACATAAACATAAGTTAAAGACTTACTTTGCTATTTCTGCCATTTCGTACCCATTTGTAGCAGTGTCTTCGCCGGCTGCTACTGCTGCGGAAAGCAGTAACTTTTCTTTACTCCCATCGTATTCGGCATCAAATGCCTGGCGTAGCTCCTATCGAATATTAACAATTATGTTAGATATTTGAATTTAATATTTATATTGATACCATATAATGTTATGGGCTCATCAAGGGTACTATATGGTAAAATTAAATTGCAACTGTTATCAAAGAGTCTATTATATACTAGTTACAAATACGTTGAAAAAAAAAATATGCTTAATCGTGAAAATGATATCGCTTCTCACAATATGTTCCCTGTAGCTTCAAGAAAATTTAAATACGTTCTTGTAATCTCAACATTATATACCAGTTACAAATATGTTGAAAAGAAAATGTATGCTTAATCGTGAAAATGATATCGCTTCTCACAATATGCATTCACTGTAGCTTCAAGAAAATTAAAATACGTTCGTGTAATACCAACATTTTGGACTACATTACCTGTACAAGTAAAGTAAAACGCTCTTTGTCAATAGCGGGACTTCCACGTGCCGCTGGATATTCCCATTCTAAATCAAGTCCGTCAAAATTTCTGTCTCTCAGATAAGTTATGGATGTCGAAATGAAATGTGC